ATAAAAAATACGCCCCTCTTCAAAATGATTTTTTTTTGCATAGTTTGTATTTCACATTTAAAATATTTGATCTATAGGTACATCAATGAATTTACATAATTACACATACAAGTTTATTATATGTTGAGTCTAATAAATACATACAGCAACACAATTCGTTTTTATCGGTTAAGTAACGCTTATCCATATTATTCGGGGAGTTTAGTAAGAACATCTTATGACGGATAATGATACCCCTCTCTAAACTCAAACTGATTAATATCGAGCCCTGGTTTCGATCCTTGGTTGGCGCAATAAAACTGTAATCAGCGTATTTTCCTTGGAGACTGAAAAGCCTATACATAAAAATTCAAATAAATGCCTTACGTGCATCAACTGCAAAAAACTGATTCAAAATATCATTCAAATCAAGTTCTGAAGCAGTGTTCACTCGGCTGTCGACAGAAGTAGGCCACTCTCGATGTGTGTCACGCGATCGTCTGTTTACTCGGTAGCAATCATTGTGTGGTTCTTCTCATTGTTCGTCATCAGCAGTTCTTTCGGTCGATGCGTCGTTGACTTTGGAAAGCAATCGTTTTGTGATGAGTGTGTGAGTGATGACCACGTTTTGCGTCCATTACTGCAATGGAAGTGCCCTGCCCCCCGTTGGCGATACTGTCATACAATGAAGCCACTGGAAGCGGCTCCCGTTCTGTTGGAAGAGGCTTATTGCATAGCGGAAGATAAAGTGTTTATTGTGTTGTGCCTGTTGACTACAATTTTAAGATGTATTATATAGTAAACAAGAATCCTCGGCTCTGTAAAGTTAATTCAGGGCTGTTACAAGATTTTCTAAATTTGATCCGTGAAATCCGCGATTTCTCAAAAGAAATCCGCGACTTCAAGTGCTAATCCGCGACAAAAAACTGTTTTCATTGCCGAAAAATAGCATTACTAGCTTATTGCTTATAGCATATTAGATTTTTGCCTGCTCTCAACTTAGTGTTCTTTGAAGTACTTTCACATTTCAGTTGAGAGCTTTCTATGCCTATACCATCCTATACCCAAGAAAGTAGAGATATTTTCCAACCCGAAAAATTAACAGAGGACGGGAATCGAACTAAGTCGCCTCCAGCATGGACTTGCTTTGTAGCTTCGCCTTTTGTAACTATTTATTTTTTTTTAATAGCATTGTATCATCTTCAGTTATTTAGGGAAATTTAAATTCTGAGTAATTAGTGAAAAAAATAAAACACCCTTAAATTTTGAGATTCTATTGAATAATATCGGCCTAGATTTGATGAAACATTATTTTTTTTTAAATTAATGCATTTTCATTTGAAATGCAAATTTTCTTGAAAATTAACCTTTGCGCCTCTGACGTATTTTTCTGTCCTAAACGTTGTAGTTAATTTGGCTTTAGTTTTCTCAATTTTTTTCCCGATTTAAACCAAACACCCTGCACATAATCGAGAAATTACTAGAGATTCATAAGTCACACTTGTTGGTCACGTCGCGGTTGTGTATTTACACGGATATTCCTTGGGTTCTGTCCAATGGTGAGACATTTTCATATATTTTTTTTTTATTTCTAATACGAACCTAGCACTTTTCGGTGTCAAATCATACCGAATCGTATATATGTGACTTTGTGGATCATGTACGACTTATTACTATGTACCTATACCGGAAATTATAGGTTTTACAAATCGTCCAGAACATCAGTTGATTTGTTCTACTAGATCAACCAAGACTGCAATAATGTCTGTAGTACCGAAAAATGTACAATCAGATTCAAAGTGTCTATGTGGATCATGCATGATCTATTTCCGAGTAATCCAGATGTTGTAGGTTCTTCAAATCGTCCTGGAGTTCAGATAATTTGATCTACTAGATCAACCGAGATTGGGACAATGTCTTTAGTATCGACATATTTCCAGACAGATGCACAGTGTCTATGCGGATCATGCATGAACTATTGTCATGTATACCAGATGTTTTAGGTTCTCCAAATCGTTCTGGAGTTCAGATGATTTATTCTACTAGATCAACCATGACTGGGATAAAGTCTGTAGTATCGAATAATGTCCAAACAGATTCATAGTGTCTATATGGATAATGTTTAATTATTTCCACGTATACCAGATGATCTAGGTTCTCCAAATCGTCCTGCAGTTCAGATGATTTGTTTTACTAGATCAACAAAGACTAGGATAATATCTGTAGTATCTAAATATCGAAATGGAAATCCTAGAACATTTGGCATACACGAAAGTAGGTTGGCATGATCCACATAGACATAGACATTGAATTAGTCTTGGGTGATCTAGTAAAAAAATAATCTGATTTAAGAACCTATAACATCTTGTATACGTAGCAATAGGTCGGCTACAATCCACATAGACATTTTGAAATTGAACATATTTCGATACTACAGACATTATTGGAGTCTTGGTTGATATAGTAGAACAAATCAACTGAACTCCAGGACGATTTGGAAAACCTAGATTATCCGGTATTCAGGGCAATCACTCGCATTTATACGATTCGTTTATGATTTGACAACGAAAATTGCTATGTTCATATTGGAAAAAAGGAAAATGTCTCACATGGACAGACCTCAGGGAATTATAATCCGGGACGGAAAGGTTACAATGAATTCCACAATTTTTGTGACAACACATCAGTTCCTTCGCGATTTTCGCGACATCATTTAATGTTTCCGCGATTTTCGCGACTGAAAGTTTAAATCCGCGACAAATCCGCGAAATCCACGAAATTCGCGAAATCCGCGCCTGTTGTAACAGCCCTGTTAATTCCATTGAGCCTTATCAAATAAATTAATAATAAACAAAAGCTCTGAACAGTGGCGCCGGTGGTGTAGTGGTAAGCGTGATTACCTCTCACCCCAGCAGGCCTGGGTTTCAATCCCAGTCGGCGCCGCCGGGTAATGGTAATGGTTCGTGATTGCAATGATTCGTTTACTTTGTTAATATTATTGAGGTTTCTCTCCAATAGATCGAGCAGACAAAGAAATTTAAAATCAATTTGTTTCAATGAAACTTGATTCCCGTACACCTTGGCACTATTATAAGTTGTCAGATCTGTTAAATTGGTAAGAAGGAAGAAATTTATCTTTTTTGAGTAGGAACTACTTGTCGTTTATACGGCCATCTTGTATCGAAATGTCCTTTTAACGTTACTCTCAATTATGAATTAAGAAAACTCCACCGCGTAGTTGAACTATTTGAATATTTGAACATCTCTTGTACAGTTTCAAAGAAAGTAATCTCTGTATACAGACTGCGTAATCTCTGATAAGATTTTAACTATGGACAGTACAAGTACAGCAATGTAAATTTCTGAAATTCAATCGTACATTTGGGCGCCCCTGTAGCTCAGCGCCCCTGGCGAGAGTCTCTTTCGCCACCCCCTCACTACGCCCCTGTGTGACCACCCCTCACTCTAAAAAAATCTTCTCATTCGATTAACGTGAAATATCACGTAACTGATCTGTATTTAGAAAATCTCAAATGTTACGTGACGTTAGTAACTTTGACCTGCATTGCAGGTCATGTCCACTAAAAATGTTGGTGAAATCGACCGCATATTGATGTAAACAGATTTAGTGTACTTGTGTTTGTGTATTTGAGACTTCGGTATTTCCGCAAAACGGGATTTACGTGATTTTCAGGTACGCAAAAAAATCAATATGGCGTCACCGAGCGTGGTGGAATAGCACCTCAAAGATTCAAAATTTCCCAGCAGCTTGCTACAAATATTGGACGGTAATTTAATTATTTTACATTAATTTATTTATGATTATATGTCGCCTTTTTCTACTTTCATAATTTCAGACGGTGGCATCAGCATTTTGAGTCTGCAAACCTCGCTGCAAACAGTTGTTAAAATGTTGTATCTGAAAAATCTACGTTAATATGCGGTCGATTTCACCAACATTTTTAGTGTACATGACGTGCAATGCAGGTCAAAGTTACTAACGTCACGTAACATTTGAGATTTTCTAAATACAGATCAGTTACGAGATATTTCACGATAATCGAACGTGAAGATTTTTTAGAGTGTATAAGTTAAGTTAAGTTTTCTTTAGCCTCCCTACTTTGAGTGTATAATTGTGTGGCAAGTACAACCATACGCTATGCCCAGGGAAGTCGAAAAATTTGTCAACCCCTAAGATTCCTAACCCGGACCGGGAATCGTACCCAGCCACCTCCAGCATGGTCTTGCTTTGTAGCTGCGCCTTTACCGACTGAGCTAAGGGAGGTCCCCACTGCTGACTTTCATACCGATGAACGGAAGTTCATCGCGCTCATTCGTGACGTCAGCGTGCAGCATCCTATAAATAATAGATTAGTAATAGTCCATTTTAAGAAATGACAGTTATTGATGATATTGATGTTGCTTCTCAAAACCATTGTGTAACGCAATCACGTTCATGCTCATTGATTACTTTTTTTTTTGATAATAATTCAATACTTTGAATGGAAATGAGTACATTCTGAAGTAACCGTGCATGGCATGAATAAGAGCTATCTGACCACATGTGGACGTCTATTCGACGGACTGATTTGAAGTTATTATAAAAAATCTTTATTCTATTCACTAACTAAAAAATATGCATAAGACTATAGGTTAAAAATGCTACACAGAGTGTTTTAAGTATCGCACCAACAGTTACAGCAACCTTTGCATGATCATGTTCCGATTAAGTGTGTTTACAAGCACTGTTTCTAATAATACCACACACTGAATCATCCCTATCTAATTACACCACTACCGGAATGTCTACCATGTACTACGCATAGTGATATGAATCAACAATTCAACAACCAACAAGCATTGGTCATTATGCGCTTAGCACCGATTTCTCTTTTCATGTTGTTTTTTTTTTAACAATCATACATGGTTTTTTTTTATTTAAAAACTCAACCAATACTTCCCTTCCTTGTTCCGACATGCCCTGATTGTACTAATATATATTCGTTTTCATTTTCGTCCAGCGCGCGGCCGATGCGTTTCCAGATTGGCCTACCGAGTACGATCGAGAACAAGGAAAACACCCGACCGTACGTGATCCGCGAGGGGGACAACGACGACCATAACGATGGACCGATCTGCTACCGGGAGGACGACGCCGATCGGGCGGCCAAGATTGCCCGCAAGGAGAGCCTCTCGATCAAGCTGGCGCTGCGGCCCGACCGGCAGGAGCTCATCAATCGCAACATTCTGCAGATTCAGTCGGACAACGAAAAGCAAGAATCGAAGGAGGCCATCGGCGCACGGTTGATCCGGCGACTGTCGATGCGGCCTACCGCGGAGGAACTGGTCGAGAGGAACATCCTGAAGAGTGAGTACCATCTCGTGCATTCGTCGATGGACATTGCTCTGATGATCTACTTTTTTTATCCTCAATAAACGCAGCACAATCCCCCGCGGAAGAGAAGAAACAAAAGGAGGAAAAGAAACGCTACCTGTTGCGAAAGCTGAGCTTCCGGCCCACCGTAGACGAGCTGAAGGAGAAGAAAATCATTCGCTTCAACGACTACATCGAGGTGACGCAGGCACACGACTACGACCGACGGGCGGATAAACCGTGGACGCGACTCACCCCCAAGGATAAGGCCGCCATCCGTAAGGAACTGAACGAATTCAAAAGCTCCGAGATGGCCGTGCACGAAGGCAGTCGACATCTTACCAGGTTTGTTTGATTGCCCGCTTACGTTTGTACTGATCAATCATTCTAATGTTCCTCCCGAATCCGCAGGTTTCATAGGCCATGACAGCTGCAATGCAGGATCAAGCAGAGACATTTTGCCGTTCATTACTTTACCTTTCTCATTAAGAATTACTACAACAAACATTTGATTGTGTACATATAAAACAATTGACATTCATCAGGAAAATTAGTAACAGCAGCAACTCATATATAGAAGCAAACACATCATCCATTATCTCACACAATTGGTAAATGCTGATGGAGGCAAAAGTGGAAAACCGAACGAGTTTTCATCATTTCCTGCATTCCCCGGTCTCCCAGGACGAGCGCAGCAGGCATGTGGAGGTAAGGTACTTCCAACGGAGGGAAGCTGCTGAAAGTGTCTATTTTTAGAACCCCGACCCCCTCCCCTCCACCAAACAAAACAATTCCATTTTCTTGGACCTTATCCACCCTAAAACTCATAAAGGACCCTAGACGTTTTGAAGGAAAATTAAATAAAAAACACGAAACAAACAAAACACTCACACATCGCAGCATAATACAACAACTACAGCAACACAACAACAGCAAATTATACCAGTTCGATTGTAGTTTACCAAGAAAACAAAACAAAAAAACGAAACGTTAAATCAGTAACAACAAGTAAATGCGCAGCAAAGGCAACAGCAAAAAATGTTTCAACCAAGAAATTAAAGGAAACCTAAAAAATATTAATGCAAAAAAAAAGAATAATAATACTGTGATAATGTTGACGTTATTAGAATGTTACCGAGACGTAAACAAAAAAAACATAAGGAAGCAAAATTTGAGACAGACAGACAGGGAGAAAGAGAGAGAGAGAGAGAGATAGGAAATACGCGGTGAAAATTGGCGCGGTAGGAGATTTTGCGACGGGATGCGGATCGAGCGGGAACCCACGGAGGTGTGGATTTTTTTTAGTGCACTTGGAAGTGCTGTGCAAGGTTTGGATTATGTTGCGTTGGTTTTGGGGAATGTATTGGAAATGGGATACTGAGAGAATGATAGGCGTTAACACTTGCGAAACGGAACATCGGTGGTTAGTAATCAATGAGTCCGCAAATTTGGCTGTTTGCAATGTAAGGCAAATGTACGGCTAAAATTAAGCTCGGAAGGCCTACACTGCCCTGTGCGCCATAACAGTCCCATTAGCATTTTTGGCGATTATGAGTTATACATTGGAATCGATTGTCAAGTACCATCACTTTACAATGTACACGAAAAAAATCCTACTTTGTTCAGAAAATGTCGCGAAAAATAACAAAACTATGTTGTCCCATCCATAAGAGCCCATAGAGAAAAAAATCTTCAACAGCGTTTTTCTCAGCTTGCTGTTTTAACGAATGGGACAACTATGCTGAAAAGGGCAGTACATTAGGAACGAGATGAACTAGCCAATGAGCTAAAAATCTCGCTAATGAAGCTTTAAAAAACTCTGCATTAAGCGTAGGTCAGCCTTATGTAGCAAAGGAAAATTGACGGGATTCTAGGAAGATGTACCACCCGTTTCACTATGAAAACTAACTTGAATTCGGTATATGTTGACGTTAAAGAACACGTAGAAGGCTAAGAATGTACCAGGTAATGTCGTAGACGTCTCGAGCAGCCAACAGGATGTAGACCGGCTTTGAATGTTGGTGAAAGGAGGCTTGTGCGCTTGGTAGCGAATTGCTATGCGCATCCGAAGTTCCGAAATTCCGAAGTTCCGAAGTTCCGAAGTTCCGAAGTTCCGAAGTTGGTTGACATTAGAGAGGGTCTAGTATTCACTGCCAATGCAATCAAGATAGGCGCTGCTCGATTTGCTCTGGCTTGGCTCTCTTATACTAAACCCTCTCTAGTTAACATGAGTGCGCATCACTCAGCGATACCATAGGAATCCAATGTTAACTGTTTCGAACATGTAGCTTCACGTTTTTGTTGAAGGAACGGAGGTCCTCGTTCGTTGGTACTTGCGTACCTACAGTCGGAGGCCCTTACTACGGTTGTAAGTGCTTCTGCGCGTTAACAAGAAGCTATCCAGTGAATCTTAGAACTCCTCGAATGTCTTTGAGGATCCGCTAGAAGGCATCCACGAATCGTTTCGTGAATATGGCGCTTTTGAGCTAGTTTTCACGGATTTACCCAACCGAGCAAACAATCGAGATGCTGATGGTGGCAGAAGTTGGGCTACTACATTCTATCAGACCATCACAGTTGACGTGTACGCGTTGCCATGTGATGAGACGATCTAGCTATGGACGACACTGTTGACATGTCATTACGGAGTTTATAATTTTGACATCCATGTTGGGCTATAACAGGTAGGTTCTTGACGATGACCTTCATTCACTCCATGTCCGCGTGAGTATGATAGAACTGTTTGAGATACAACTCACGATACAGTGATGGAAAGAGTCGTTCCGTAAAAACGATGCACCCATTCATCATGGTGAGTGATTTCCATCTAGCTTCAGATCAATGAAATTCTAGACCGTCCAGCCGTTTTGGACGTAGCGGTGGACTAGAAACCCTTTGACTGTATTACATACCACTGACTTGAGATCCACTTACAGATTGTGGCTCGCAATACCGTAGTCTTCGTTCGGTAGGTCTGCGTTGCACATATTCGATATCAAAATTGTACAGCAGCATGTTAAGAGCGAAGCATTGAGGGTGGTAGACCGTAATTCCCTTCTTCGAATCAAACACACGAAGCAGAGGACTGTGATCGGTGTGTAACCGCTTGACGTGTATTTCGCGATCATCATGCGGTTGTAGTATTGCTCAGCCTGAAGTGAGTACCATGGATATGTGTTGGACAACCTGAGTGGTCACCTACACAGCAAAAACAATGTAATATTGATCAACGTAAGTCAAGCTAATGTATGAAATAATGATATAATAGCAAAAAGCAGATACAATATTACATCAATAGATGTAATTTTGTTCGTAAAATCGATGTACATCGTACAATGTGATATTACACAACCGATGGATTGACCTGGTTGCAGCAGTTTCGATGTAATATTCTACAACTTTTTTTTTGCTGTGTAGAGTCATACGGAAGAACCGTCAGCGGAATAAATTCTTTCCCGCTTCGGGTCATTGTGTGTATGGGGAAGTTGAGGGCCCTCTAGAAGGTCGTACATCGGCTAGGTAGGATGAGGACGTTGTATCCGCGGCATAATGAACGTAAAATTATACGAGGTATACGATCCCGTGGATTCAATGTATATTCGTTATGAATCAGCTAACACAGTAGTAACGAGTTCGCTGCTTCTTGGATGATAAATTCAAGCAGTGTTGGAAAAGTTCGCGATATTTCATGAAGTTCACCAAGGGAAAAGTTCGTGACTCATAGTGAGTTTTCGCGAACCTTTCCATCACTGAATTCAAGTTGTTGGAGTTGAGCCTCTCAATAACGTAGTATTTATCTTAACGAGCTGGTTGACCAACTACGACAGAAGGTCTGAGTTACTGAACGTATTCGATGTCGAAATTGTAGAGCAGTAAGTTGAATGCAAAGCGTTGAAGGACGGGCTTACTGTAGCCTTGTTGGATACGTGATAAACAACTTTAATGATGCGGTCGGAGTACCTATGGTCGCGCCGAGTTATCTTTCAGCAGAAACGGTTAGGCTTCAAAAGAGGATTTGCTTGAACTGCTCCTGGTAGTCCGGACTCCAGTGGTGAATCTTAGTCTCTGCCTTGAGCGGGCAGCGTAGCATTGCGCATGTTGGAGACAAACTTGCCATAGTAGTTTAGAACCCTCAAGAAAAATCGCACAACGGATACATCGGATGAGGACGTAATCCACGACAGTCGACGATGTGCCTCAAGTAGCGGGTATGCTGCTTTCGAAATGTGCACGACTCGGATGATAAATTCAGTTGAGGCTGGTGATAAAGGGACGTAGTGGTTGATCAACTTTGAGAGCAGTCCTGCCTTGCGGAACTTGATGGTGGGCACGTATTCGATGTCGAAATTGTAGAGGAACAAGTTGACAGTGAAATGATGAGGGCCGTTTTCTATGTAGACCGGAAGCCCCTTCTTGGAATCGAAGATAACGAAGTAAAGGGTTATGACCGCGGTCTATATTCGGAACCTTATTATAAAGCAGATAAAAGTATTCGTGAGTGCCCTGGATACGAGTTCCATCAGCGAACCTATGACTAATGTGATGTTTACTAGAAATACTCAGAGGGATAGATGGGCGGAGAAAACAAAATACAATGCGGCAGTAGGGATTTGTACCTAAATCATCTTGCAACCCTTGCTAGAAGCTTTTTTTATTATGGTCACTTTAACACTTTTAAGTCATTCGTGACTTGTCCGGGGGTGAGATTTTGAACTCGTGACTTTGGCGTGAGAGTTATGGATGCTAACCATTACGCCGGGGTCGCGCCTCTTGCTAGACTTTTATTTTTGATTCGATTTACGTGTACAATAATAATTGATTGCATCGCAATATTTTGCACATTTCTTGGTGCCATTAATTACCCAACTAAGATCAATTAATCAACAGAGTTAGAATATTGATTTTGATTAAAAAAAACTAGTTGAATTTGAGAAGCACACGAAACAAAAAGGTGATTGAATTTCTGTTCGATTGCAATACTCTCAAATTTAATCTAGTAAGAATAAGGAATTTTAATGAGAATGTTCGATTGGCTCAAATTTTGACAGGCTCAAAAAATTCTCTCCGCCCATCTGTCCCTCTGAGTATTTCTAGTGTTTACATATGCGCTAATTTGCAAGCGCTAGTGTACTAGAACTGTACTAAAAAGAATCCAGCATAATTTAAACAGGGCGTCAGCATCTGCCACCATGAGATATTATAAACGACTGAAATTCGTGATAGTTTGTTGAGCTAATGCATTAGCATAAGTGTAAACAGCCCAATATGGCCAGTTTACATATGCGCTGGTTCACTAGCTCAACCAAATAGTGAAAATTTCAGTTGCTCCTAAAATCTCATGCTGGTACATGCTGACGCCCTGTTTACATTATGCTGGCTGCTGTTTTAGTACATTTTTAGTACACTAGCCCTAGTGAACCAGCGTATATGTAAACAACTCCCTATTTGTCGTCCCGTTTCGGGTCGTTCCGGAATGATTTGAGACTTCATTCGAGCAGTTAAAATGACGTTTACTACCACTCGAACTTTGAAATAAAACATTATTTTGAGATTTTTTTCTTCTAAGAGAAAACGAGAAAAGTAGCCATCATTTGTGCGTTTCATAAAAAAAAGAGAAATTAGTCGGTCCAGTTTTATGGAATCGCTGGTAGAAAGTCACGCCAAAACTGCTCGACAAAGTGGTCAATTGCTTTTAAAAACAAACACTTCAATCGGCGATTTCTCGCGAATAAAAGTTCAATCTCGAAAACGAATAACAACATCCGAAAACTAATAATGATTCCTCTATCATTTGGAATAGGTTGTTTTTCGAGGTAGAAACGTGTTTGTTTTTAAAGGCAAGTACGCCCAAATCTCAAATCCGGCGTTGTTTGTGAGTAATAGATCCGAAGCGAGGATTTTCTTGAACTGCTGCAATGACGGCACCGTCGAGAGATCGTCTCTTCTAGCAAATATTGACAGTTTCTTATGGGAATTTTCAGTGGAGTGAAAGGATAGTACCTAGGCCGCCATGTTTAACGCACAGTCTGACGATTGCTTATGGATTTTACCACAGGATTAAAAAGCTACAGAGTCCGTCAACGCCAATTGCTGTCTGGCCTCGTGTCTAGCACTTCGGACTCAAGCGGTCAAATTCCGTTTCTGCCTTGAGGATATAATCGAGCGGGTAGCGTACCATACGTATGTTGATGGCCCCAAGAAGGATCCCATACCGGATACATTGGTTGAAGGTGACAGCTTGGAAATTGACTCGATTTGACCGGATCCAGACGTAACCTAAGGTGAGAAATTTGCTGCTTCCAAAACGTACACTTTTCGAATCGGAAGGTAAGATCAAAATAACCTGGGATCGCTGCAAAACTTCCAGTAGATTGTGGTCGTACTCCGCGTCGGCTTCACTGCCTTCGTTGACATCAACAAGATTGCGAAAAGTACCCATCAGTCCAACTATTCACTAACTAAGTGAAAGCGTCCGACAAATCATACGGTAGATCTTGCAGTTAGCTTGTCTGTCGAAGATGCCGACTGGAAGTGCAAGTGAATACTGCTGCGGTTGAAGAGCTGCGTTCAAAGCCGTCGAGGTTAGGTTAGGCACTATAAGTGAGACTTTCAGCAGTGGGTTGGTTCTTTTGATAAGAAATAAAAGAGAGCATAGGCAGTTAGATGCATCACAGTTTCTAAAATAATTCTACAAGACTGAATCATGGTCTACAGAACCCTCATAAATCCAAAATTGTTACTTGAGTATAGTCCATTGTGTCAGACTGGCGTTGATCATTGGGTTGTCCGTGTGTGAGCAGTAATTGACTAGACGTCGTTCGACCGTATTCAGTGTTGGTTAATATGCTGGGGCTCAAGCAATGGTCAGGATTTGTATGGAGGAACTAGATCCTTTCGAAAAGGTCAGTGCCGCCATTCTGGATGGATCCTCGATAAGCATGTCCCGGATGCTACCTGTTATACCATAGAACTCGAGGCCAGTACCAGATGATATGTTGTACTGAATGAAGAACTTGAAAGATTTCACAAGTCTTGTCTTGAGAGAGTTTCATCGTGCGGGATTGGAATCGGGAGGGTTCTCCCATCTCCAGGCAGCTCCCTTGTAATTGAGCTATCAGAATAACGGATGGTATGTGAGATGTATTTGATTCTTTGAAGCTCCCCCACCGATGTTACCCGTTCGGGGGAGTTGTGCCACATACGTTCAGGTCAAAAGGTAGCACTCCGCTTTCAACGCACATAACAACACACCAGCTGTAGACGGGAGGAGGCTGTAGCAGATCCGGAGGATTTGGTGATATGGAAGCGTCAGCATAGTGATGAGTTGGTCACGGGCGAGACTGGTAAGTTCGATGCCATACAGGAGCCGCGACCGGTTGCAATCGGGATGTCGTCTGGCAGTGGAACGGAAAACATTTAACCGAGTTTTACAGCCACACTTAACGTCCCGAAATGGGCGACGAAGGACAGATATCTAGTTGGATCCCAATGAGCTGGGCCGTCTTTTGATAGGGCACAACTGTCTCGTCAATGTATATGGAAGTGCTGAGAGGACTATGCTGGTGCGAGTAGATGTGGACCAGAGACCTTTTTCAGCTGAGAGTCGAATCCAGCAGACGACGCACACAACGATACAATCCTGGCAGCCAGTTTAATCCGGAGCGCCTTAACGGTGTTACAAATGACTACGAGTAAGGGCATTAGACCGAACCACGATTGCCAATCCTTGCGGGACACCTGTCTCCTTGCAGAATTATCGGTTGAGTACTCTGCACATCCTGATGGAACCATTGACTTTAGCAATAGATCACATCTTTCAAACAGTAGATTTGATATTCGTTAATAACTGGCTGAGCTACGATTTTTCAAATATTGCAAGATCGCCTTTACATTACATTTTACCGGAGGCATCGTGTTCGGAGTGTTAAATGACGTTTTCCACCACTCGAACTTTGTGGTGAACCAATATTTTATAATTTTTCTTCTTATTTATACTAAGCTAGACAAAAATACTTCAATATTTTCTTAAAATCACTGCTGGACAATGCGATTAATTACGACCACTCCGAATATTTGACCGAAAAAATGATGATCGGCATACCTAAAGAGACTGAATTGGGTAAAGAGGCGACATCTTATCCATTTGACAGATTTTCTGCTCGGTTGTAATAACTTTTCCTATGACTTTGACAGATAATCGATTGTTCCAATTTTGACATGTCGTCTCTTCATTGGCATATTGCCAATTCAGAGAAAAATTAGAATTTGGCGTCAGATTATCAGCATGCTGTGGCTGTCAGTTGCGTTGAATTACTTTCCCTGAAACGGCAATACCTAGCCGGTCAGGCTCGCTGTCAACGGCCTTCCCTTTGAATTAGTTCCACGCAGGGTTGCCAGGTATTTTTTGAGCGATACAAAATCACGATTTATCAGGATAGGCATTTTGGATAGCAAATGTGTTAAGGAACAGTCTTCCACTCGATACAATATATGTTTTAAATCGCAAATTTTGAAAGTGGGAGTGGGAGGTTATATCAGGATGTTTCTTTAGAAAATCAGGATAAATTAGGGATTTATCAGGATGGGCCTAAAATCGGGATAAATCCTGATATATCAGAATGTAGTAGGCCCTGCCTGAATGATAGCAAAAGATTGTAATAAGTATTCCAACCACCAACCAAGTTAGACGTAATAAACAGTAGCTGCCAACAACAACTAGTTTTACTTGTTGGCCTTGGTTACGGATATAACAATTTGGCGACGAGGAAAAGTTTGGAAGTATCTCGAAGCCTCAAGCAAGAAGCTGTCCGATATGGAACTCAATCTCATCACGAGGAAGTAGCTTCAAATTGAAAACCTGGAAAATCAGGAAAATCCGATGACTGACAGTGAGAAGATTGCTGAGTCCTTGGTAAGCGGGATCCAGGATTTCCAGTACGATCCAGACGGAGAAGTTTTCTTCGCTGGCTGGTATGCGAAGGTACGAGGACGTTTTTACAAAGGACGGCCAATCCCTGAATGATGCCGCCCGTGTGAGATTGCTTCTTCGAATATACGGATATAACACAGAATACCTGACACCGCTGGATCCACGCCAAATGACGACCTTCTCCGATTTGCATGAAACTTTGCATAATTGTTTGTTCTGGACAATGATTCACATTTTTGCTAAAATTTGGCTATTACAGTCAACTTTCGCTCGTTGGGCTAAACCCATAGCCCACTTATAGCGAATTTGTTTATTATTCAGTTCCAACCTGGATCGGGTATCAAGATTGGGTCTGCTTGTTTTCTGAAAAACGTCAGTTTGCTCGTTTGTTTTTAAAACCTAGCTCAGGTTGAGGTTCGCGCTGACAAAAAGTTCGGTTTCACCCGATAATAAACGAATTCACTGTTAGTGAAAGGCTTTCGTTAGTTGGGCTGAGTTGTCAAGCTGAAAATTGGTTGAGGGATACAGCGATTGTTTACTATCATTAGAATCACTTAGCAATTCCAAATTGTTCATCCATGAGCCCCTCGAAATGGAATCAGCACTGTCAGAAACGGTGTTTGACTTCGATTTAAGTTGGCAATAGCCCAACTAGCGGGATCCCAACTAAAACGTAGCCCACTCAAAGATAGCCCAACGAGCGAAATTCGACTGTATATACAATTATTTTCGATATTTTTCCTAGAACTGATGCGAATTCGGTTTGTAACTCACTTCTTCTTCTTGTTCGCATTTCAAGCTTATTGCTTAGCGCATAATAGCTTATTGCGTGCTCTCAACTTAGTGTTCTAAATGCACTTCCACAGTTATTAATTGAGAGCTTTCGATGCCAATACCAATGCATGAATTTGTATATTGTGTGGCAAGCACAATGATACTCTATGCCCAGGGAAGTCGAGAAAATTTCCAACCCGAAAGATGATTTGTAACTCACATGACCTGCGAATTTCAAGTTAATTGACCGCCTTTATTGTTTATATCTATGACAGACATGATTGTACCTCTATATACCTCTATGATTGTACTAACGTTGTACTCCATTAAGCAAGTACCTCGATTGTGGTACTAGATTAAAGGATTACAAAGTTATTACAATCATGTCTCTCATAGTCTCTACATTGATTATGTAGCTTTCAAGCGTGAGTCATCGACAACGAAACACTTTTGGTTATGGCTAAATTCGATGTAGAAAGCCTCAGAGCTTCCGCATTACATTTAACAGCGGGAAAAGTGTGATCGAACATTCGTTATCATTTACAATAGTCAACTCAATTGCTTTCCCAGATCATAGCCTTTCACCAACGCAACATAACCTCTCGAACGAAAGCGAAATTTGAACAAAAATCAGAACGAAACAACACGATAGACAACATTCAACATACAAACTCGTGATCGCCGCGATCCGAACAATAATGGTATCTTGTATTATCACAAGAAAAAACGGTTTAGAACACATTTGAAACCCTGCGTGAAGTGCCATCGCTTTCGAATAGTCTCTCAACGTACACCAAACAAAATAACAAAATAACAAAATAGCATATATAGTATTTATGTTCTATATTGTATTGTGTAAACAAAAAGGTACGTACTTTGGAACAGTAGTCGAAAGAGGCATCATTTCAAGCAATTATTTAGACACTCTAAAGAGAAATCACAACCAATTTTGCAAATACCCAGAACCGGGATGGACGAATGGAGGAAGGAAAGTAAGCTGTATTTGTACATATCTTGTGAAAAATATTACTAAAATTGCTAGAGGAAAAAAACACTACTAAGCAGAATACCGAAACAGTAAACAGTATAAGCAAATCTTTGAGCGGAAAACAGAAATTGATGAACATATTTTTTTAAAGCTGAAACACCTAAATAACACTAAACCGATGGACAGCCAGTGAAAGCCAACACAATAAACGAAAAACTAATAAGAAATCAACTAAACCCGGAAAACCGATAAATGGCAAACGAAGAAGAAAACCAAGTAAACAACCACAAGCAATTAAACCTAAATCGCGGATCCATTTGCATGGTATAGTTGAAATCAAAATACACACACAAAAAAAATAGTAGAATATTATCAAGCAAAAAAAACTAAATAAAAAAGGAAAAAAATCAACAACTTGGAAGTTGGAACAGAAAATGGACAAACCGCAAACACACAATAGTTGTGCGTTTCAGTGGGTGTAGATTTTTTTTTTTAGTGAGAAAGCAGATGAGGAAGCGAATCGAAAGGCGACTCTTTCTTAAGGCGTTGTTGGCTCGAGAGCGTTTTGTCCCGTTCGTTGTGCTAAACAATCCGCGCTATCAAAATACAATACAAATTACTTTTAGTTTTTTGTTTTGCGTTCACTTTCTTTGTAAGTTTTACGTTTTACGTTTACCTGTAATTTTAAGAAGAGCCTCTTCTAGCAAATGGAAGCGCATGTTTTCAGTTTCCGTTTTCTATATAGCGAAAAAAACAATGGGAAAATACAATCCGTAAGCTAGAATAGCAAATCAAGTTACGAGTTTTGTTCTTTGTAACGCCAAAACGTAATTATGCTTCATTCGTCTCCTCAGAAGTAGAGTTTTTACGAAAGAATCGCATTGGAGAAATTCTAAATCGATGGCAATTTTCGTGAAAATACACTAATACATAGCAAGCGCTAGTAACTGAAAACAAAATAAGTAAAACAAATAATCACAAAAGTCGACTGTTTCGCTTTTTCGTTGTATTGTCGTATGTATTAATGAGCAAAATGTAGAAAACAAAACCAGAAAGCAGAAGGAGCAGCAGCAAGAAGGTGGTGCGTGTCGGAAAAGGTAAGCGAGTGAGGAAAACTAGAAATAACTAATAAGGTGGACATATTTTGTAAAAAGGTAAACTGAAAAAAAAAACAATTTGAACATTCAATTAGTGACGTTTTCGAAATTTACGTGATCATCTTATCATAATAGGAAGGAATAGAAAACTGTAATGCAAATGAAATAAACTCATTCGAACGAAGCAAAAAACACGCATAAGACAGATAACGAAATTTGAAGAAAAGAAAAAGGCACAGGGAACCTGGCGCACCAGTAAAGGTCACCAGATGGAGTGTGGGACTGCTAGAGAAAAAGGAAAACTTTCATACGATAATGTGCGGAGAAAGAGACAAAGACCGACAGGAAAAAAATAATTCTCAAAAAACATCCCAACAACAAAACACAATAGAACACTTTTTGGAAAACCACTTTGAAAAACAAAACTACACAATATGGCAATGCAAACATTGGAAGCAGAAGAAGGGAACGCGTTTAAAGAGAAGAAATAGCGTTTAAGCGTACATGCATATATTATATTGATGAAGAAAACAAAATTAAAAGTGAATAATTTGAGGAAAAAATGAAAAAAAAAAATAATGACAAATAAAAGAAATAATAAATTTAAACCGAGGAATGGGATGACATTTTATGCCGAACACCCTTTAGCTAATCTTTTTTTCCCCTTTATTTAAAATCGTAATCTAGTGCCAATCATCGACGGACATCGATTACCATCCATTGACGGCAATCGAATGAGCCGGGACCAACGGCTTTACTTCCCTTCCGAAGGAAGACGTGACCATAGATTTTTATGTCTCAGAAAAATCCCACCGACCTTGGCTGGGATTGAACCCAGACCCATTTGGGTGAGAAAGCAGTCACGCTTACCACTACACCACCGGCGTCGCACAGTGGGGCAGTGAAGCCATTCGCGTGGCTAAAACCTCTAGCGCCGTTGGTTTGCTTTCTACAGCGATACAATGGTCTACAAAGTTGCTCAATATTAAAAGCGCCATCTTTTGAAAGCTTCAAATTAGTTCATTTTTACGCCACATAGGTGGCGCTTGAGTCTATCTTTTGAACGGAGCATCCTAGCCGAATGGTTTTTTTCGGGCAAAGTTGTGTAATTTAAAGTGTTGAAAAATGTTGTCGAAGACATCGAAACTCTATGACTCACATTAAGGGGTTACGCCTACCTGCAAGACCGAAAAAAAAAGAAAGTTTGGATTTTTTTTGACGTTGGATAACGTCTTTCGGCAACATACGGGGGTACAAAATTGAAAACAGTCATTTTGGATGTGTTACGAAAAATTAAAAGATTTTGAACGATAATAACTCAACCGTCTCTCGATAGATTTACGAGATAATGGCATCAATCGATTGGACATATTTCTAGCAATTTGCTGAATGTTTCAAAACTATTGATTTCATTCTGTAAACTATTGAAAAATGGTTAAAAGTAAACCATTGTCTAAAGATGGTGAAAATCGATTGATTTTTTTTATATTCTTATACTTTCCCCAATAGAGACATCAGATGCGAGTATCTGACACCTCTGATATTTTCTGTTCTACTATATAACCGTCCAACAAGGTCGCCCGTTCCATCTATTGTCTATCCGATCGTCGACCCAGCAGCAGAGCAGCAGAGCAGCATTACCAGAGCAGCGGAAGCAGAGCAACGGCAGCAGAGCCTGGGGGCGAAAGGGCAACTACGCCGAGTGCGTTGGTGCCAGTGCTCCGGCATACTAGGCCGCCGTCATGGAATGCCCAGCTGCTGCAGTTCTCAGTCGGTCGTATTCACCGTCTGCTCCGCAAGACCAACTACGCCGAGCGCGTTGGAAAAATTGCCCTTTTCAGGGCCACAACCTTATCAAGAAAGAGTTTAACGATTAATTTTCTAATGCCTTTCCGACAATTGAATATCGAAAGTTGAATCTTCGCAGAGCCATATTTTATCTCGAAAAATAATTTTAAAATTCTTAACAATCGATGATGCTACGAGAATCTTGAAAACATAATAAAATTTACTTAGAAAGTACCATAAAATATATGTTATTTTCTAGTGGATTGGGCAAAGACCTTTTCACTTTGATGCTATATGAAAATAAAGCGAAATTTATTTCCAAATCATATACCGGACCCACTGTGTTAGTTTTCAAAATCTCGAAAACAAACCCCCGTACACGTTCTACTTCATTACTTAATCTGGACTAGAACGGAACGAGCGAATTAAAATTTTAAAAGTTCACTACAACTCTCTTGAATTATTGTGGCGGCCCTGAAAAGGGCCGATTTTTGTTAAGATTTCGACGGGGTAATTAAGCACGTTCTCCACGAATACGACGAGCCAGCTGGATGTCCTTCGGCATGATAGTGACACGCTTGGCGTGGATGGCACACAGATTGGTATCCTCGAACAGACCGACCAGATAGGCCTCGCTAGCTTCCTGCAGAGCCATAACAGCTGAGCTCTGGAAGCGCAGATCGGTCTTGAAGTCCTGGGCAATTTCACGGACCAGACGTTGGAAAGGCACTTTCGGATCAGCAGTTCGGTGGATTTCTAATAAATAATAAATATTTTTTTAATTGCAGCAGTATGTATTGTGTAGGAGAATAGGAATTTTAGCGGGGTTCTCCCTGTTTAGTCTTTTTAGTATGACTATGATTGGCCTCAGATTAACCAGGCGGTTTTTGTTGATTCTTTTGTATTTCGACTGGAATATCACTGGAAACGCACTACTTACCCCAACACAGCAAAATGATTGTCGGTACTGGATTAGTAGTGGTAGATCTCATACCAGTAACAACCAACTTAGGTTAAATCTAACAACCTTAACTGAAAAAATCAGCTTTTTATCACATCCCTACCACCTTTCAAAAACGACTAGAAAGTTCATTAAAAACACCTTTTTTTTTATTCATTTGGTGGCCCTGAAAAGGGCCGGTTTTTTGTCTGAGTCGATGATGCTAATTTATCCTCCGAAACCGTACAGAGTGCGTCTCTGTCGCTTCAGAGCGTAAACGACATCCATTGCAGTCACCGTCTTCCTCTTAGCGTGTTCGGTGTAAGTAACAGCATCACGGATAACGTTCTCCAGAACACCTTCAACACTCCTCTAGTTTCCTCTTAAATAAGTCCAGAAATTCGCTTGACTCCACCACGACGAGCCAGACGACGGATAGCAGGTTTAGTAATACCCTGAATGTTGTCACGCAGCACTTTTCGATGACGCTTTGCTCCTTCTTTGCCAAGTCCTTTTTCTCCCTTGCCGCGTCCAGTAATTGTTGGAGATGGTTAGTGTATCGTTGATGAAGGTTGAGACGAAAACGAAGAAAATTTCAAATTTCGACTTTTTTATACCTACTCGAGGGTTAAATTCTTCTTGTTAGTTGTTGTATTCTGTTCTTTCATCGTTTCTGATTGGTTGAACGCAGCAAACGCATGTTATAAAACAGAATGGAAGTCATTTTTTTTTTTTTTTTTTTTTTTTTTTTTTTTATCAATCGTCATCGAGTACATTCAAGCAGTTCAGTTCGGTGTTAGCTCGCTCTCTCGAGTTGTTTGAAAAGTTCATTGCGATAGTGTTCGCGCTCTCTCTTTCGCGGTTTGTCGTGCGTGTGTGTGTGCCCCGTAATGGGGAAGCATCGGTCGCGAAGCCCGGCGAAGGTCCAGAACCCCGGAGAAGGAAGCTCCGGTGTGCCTACCTCGAACAGGTTTGCTGTTCTCCCCATGGATGGGAATATCCAGCCAGCTGTGTTGGAAAAACGCAGTAAGAAGAGGAAGAAGAATCGAGGCCAGTCCGATGTCACTGCGACGAACAACAGCGATGTTGGAGATTTCGGTGACGCTGCCGAAACCGTGAATACTGCCGAAATGAGCACGGCAAAAGTGAAGCTACCTCCATTGGTAGTGAAAAATGCCCATCTTAATGTGCTCATTGCGGATCTAGCGACGCTGGGTGTTAAAGCCGAATACAAGTTGGGCAGAGTCGGCACTAAAGTGATGCTCCGTACCAAAACGGAGTTTGACGTGGTCGTCGCCCACCTGAGGACTTCCAAGGTGGAATTCTTTACCCACGACATTCCCGGTGAGAAGCCGTTCAAGGTCGTCATCAGGGGCCTACCAAACTTCGACCCGAAGTTTATCGAATCAGAAATCAGGGACCGGTACAAGCTGGCCCCAAGTGCCTTGTATCGAATGACAAGAAGAGACGAGAATGTGAAGGCGTATCCGGATAGCCTTTTCCTGGTACACTTCCAGAAGGGAACGGTGACGCTCAACGCACTGAAAGCCATCCGGTCCATCAATTCCATCATCGTTCGCTGGGAGCCATACCGTGGCGGCCATCGCGATGTGACTCAGTGCCAGCGGTGTCTGAACTTCGGACACGGTACCCGCAACTGCAACATTAAGCCACGCTGCGGAAATTGCGCTCAAGACCATGCCACCTCCGAATGTGCTGCGGATGAAGCTGTGGCGTCCAAATGCGCCAACTGTGGTGGTGCTCACCAAGGATCCAACAAGCAGTGCCCTAAACGCGAGGATTTCAAGCGCATCCGAAATCAAGCGTCCACCAACAATCAACCAGCACGAAGGAAGGATAAGGCCCCGGCTTTCAGGACAGAGGACTTTCCACCTCTTCGTGGACAAGCGAATCCCAGGGTGCGATCCGCGCCCCCTCAAGAAACGTCTGGATCTTCTGCTGGACAAAGCTCTCCATCCCCCCTGGATTCTGGAGGCAACCAACAGCTCAAACAAACAATCCCGATCTGTTCTCAGCAGACGAACTGATGGAGATTTTTATCAACATGACCGGTGCTCTACGTAAGTGCCGCAATAAGCCCGAACAGATCCAAGTGCTCGGTAAGTTCATCATCCAATATGGTGTCTAAACCGCTAACCATCGCTACCTGGAACGCTTGCTCTGTAAGAGCTAAACAGATTGAGCTTGCCGACTTCCTCCGCAAGCACAGCATCGACGTGGGTCTTCTAACCGAAACCCACCTAAAGTTCGGTGACAGCTTCTGGTTGCCTGACCACAACATTATCCGGCTTGATCGCACCAGCTCCAGGGGGGGTGGTGTAGCGGTCATCGTCAGAAAGGGAATCAAGTTTTGCACTCTGCCCCACATCCGCACTTCTATCATCGAGGCCATTAGTGTGGAGGTGGAATCACCAACTGGAAACGTCCGGTTCATCGCTGTTTACTGCCCACGCCAGTGTACCGCAAGCAACGGATTAGGAATCCAATTCAAGAAGGACCTGACCGCCATCACCCGTACTAGCTCCCGATTCATCGTTGGGGGCGACCTGAACGCCCGCCATGAAGCTTGGCGGAACTACCAGAGGAATCGAAACGGATGTCTATTGTTCGACCACGCACAACATGGACTGTACACAGTGCAATTTCCGGACGAGCCAACTTTCATCTCTCCAGCGGGAAATCCCTCCACGCTAGACTTTTTCCTGTCAAACATCGGACTATCCAAGCCGGAGGCGCACAACGATCTCAGCTCCGACCACCAACCGGTGGTGACTGAAGTCGGTGTCAACGTGGTTCCTGCTAGAGGCTGCCTGCGTAAAGACTACCACCATGTCAACTGGGTGCAGTACGGTCGAATGGTGGACAGCAACATCGATGAAAATCCACTACTCGACACCGTAGATGACATCGACCGGGCGTTGGAAGGACTCCAACAGGCCATATCCGAGGCTGACGAGACATGCGTTCGACAAGTTCCTGTGAGGGGTAAGTTTGTTGCTATTGATTCCCACACCCAATTATTGATTCGATTGAGAAATGTGCGTAGACGCCAGTTTCAGAGGACTGGAGACCTGGGCAAAAAACGTGAAATGGCCGATCTGAACAGGCAGATTGCTTCCAGAATGGACTCACTCCGAAATGAAAGTTTCGGGCGTGTTGTCCAGAATCTGGACGACCGCTCCAGACCATTCTGGAAGGTAGCCAAGGTCCTGAAAAATCATCCCAAACCCGTTCCACCTCTCAAAGTCGAAAATGATGACGATCGGCTTTTAATTACCCCACAGGAGAAAGCAAATGCGATCGGCGAACATGTCGCTTCATCGCATTTGCTTGGCTCGAATATCCAAAGTCCGCTCGAAGATCAGGTTGCGCAATGCGTTCAAAACCTAGATGCCTCCCCTTGTGTCGTGCCTCCGGCGGATATGATTACAGTACAACAAATTTGCTCAGCGCTGAAATGCACCAAGAACATGAAGGCTCCCGGGTTTGACGGTATATTCAACTTGATCTTGAAGAGACTCAGCATGAAAGTGCAGTCTCTTCTAACCGCTATCTTCAACAGATGTTTGGAACTGCACTACTTTCCAAGTATCTGGAAAGTAGCAAAAATCATACCAATCCGCAAACCCGGTAAGGATCCAACATTGCCTTCAAGCTACAGACCAATCAGCCTCCTTTCAGCGCTGAGCAAATTGTTCGAGAAACTCATTCTCAATCGTTTGCTCAAGTTTGTCGAGGAAAATAACATTCTCCTTCCGGAACAGTTTGGGTTCAGAAAGGGGCACTCCACCAATCATCAGCTAGTACGGGTGATGAATAACATCCGAAGTAACAAAGCTGTATCCAAGTCCACAGCCATGGCCTTGTTAGACGTTGAAAAGGCGTTTGACAATGTTTGACATGATGGACTTGTGTACAAGCTTTGTAACTTCAACTTTCCATCACATCTTATTAAAATCACCCGTAACTACCTCCAGCAAAGGTCGTTTAAGGTATCGTTGAATGGTTGTCTCTCAGACACGTTTTCGATCCCAGCAGGAGTCCCGCAAGGTAGTCTGCTGGGCCCCTTGCTTTACAGCATTTACACTTCCGACATTCCTCCCCTCGGTGACGGTTGCGTGTTTTTCCTGTTCGCAGATGATACCGCAATAGCCGTCAAAGGAAGGATGCCTCGCGAAATAACGAACAAACTTCAACGATGCCTTAACGCCTTTGCTGATTATGCCACCACGTGGAAAATCAAAATCAATGCCACCAAAACACAAGCGATCATGTTCCTCCATCGGCAATCGCCCAAACTGAAACCGGCTCCATCTTGTACTGTAATCATGGATGGCACAAGGGTTGAGTGGTCCGCCGAAGTAACCTATCTCGGGATGTTGTTCGATGAAAAGCTCCTCTTCCGTTCGCATGTAGAGAAAACAGTAGTCAAGTGTTCTGCCTTGGTTAGGTGTCTGTTTCCGCTGATTTGCCGCAGATCCCGCCTCTCAAGGGTGAACAAACTGGCCGTCTACAAACAAATCATAGCACCTGCGATCCTCTACGCAGCTCCGGTGTGGGAATCATGTGCACAGACTCACAGGAACAAAATCCAGGTCGCTCAGAATAGAGTGCTGAGGATGGTACTTGATCGTCCTTTTGACACTAGAATAACAAATTTACACGAAGAGGCAGGCATTGCCAAAATAGATTCCAGAATTAACGAAATTAAGACTAAATTTGCACAAAAATGTAATTTATCAGAACATGCTTTGATAAGCAATTTGTATATAGTAGGTTAGGTGTACATAGTAGTTGTAGGTTAGTTGTAGTTGTAAATAGTAGTTATAAGTAGTCTCCTTTTTCCAATTCAAATCAAACCAATCCCACCAAGGTGGTCATACTTTAAAATAGGCCTGATAGGACTAGGAACTGTAAATAATAATTAAAATCTCAAATGTACCAAAGTTGAAAAGACGCATCTGTGTCACTTAACAAATTCATACATGTAAACCACACAATCACAAGAAATAAAGATCATTTAAATGGAAAAAAAAAAAAAAAAAAATTTTTTTTTATTCCACAGTTTGCTTTCATCGACTCCATATCGTACCCAAGGCTCGCACCAAGTAGGCCGCTCGAAAGTCCACTGGAGTAAAGGCTCCTCGCAAGCAGTTGGCAACGAAGGCCGCTCGCAAAAGCGCTCCAGCCACCGGAGGAGTAAAGAAGCCTCAACGCTACCGGCCAGGCACCGTCGCCCTGTGTGAGATCCGTCGTTATCAGAAATCGACCGAACTGCTGATCCGCAAGGTGCCTTTATTGGTATCTTCAAACAGTCCGAATAGAAAGTATTGATCACTTTCGTTTCAACCTCCATCGACGATACTTTTACCATATTAGAAAAGACTGGACGCGGCAAGGGAGGAAAAGGCCTTGGCAAAGGAGGAGCCAAGCGTCATCGAAAAGTGTTGCGTGACAACATCCAGGGCATCACTAAACCTGCAATCCGTCGTTTGGCTCGTCGTGGTGGAGTGAAGAGAATATCCGGTCTCATCTACGAAAAAACCAGAGGAGTGCTGAAGGTATTTCTGGAAAACGTTATTCGTGACGCCGTTACTTACACCGAACATGCGAAGAGGAAGACTGTCACCGCCATGGATGTCGTTTACGCTCTGAAGCGGCAGGGACGTACTCTGTACGGATTCGGGGGTTAATTTAGTATCATCGACTCAACAAAAAACCGGCCCTTTTCAGGGCCACCATATAAATTTAAAAGGTGTTTTAGAATTGACTTTCTTGCCAGAATGTGAAAGGTTGAAGTGATGTGATGGAGCGTTCATCGATCTGCGGGTGTTATGCTTAAATCAACGTAGGTCCTGCTGGTTACCGCTACTAATCCAGTACCAACAATATTCTGCATACATTTTGGTGTGGTAGTTCCAGATACGTCGTGCACTTCCGGAATCCAGAGAAGAAATTAATGAAAACGCCTGAGTTGTCCGAACGCGCTTTGGGGAAAGATATCGCAAAAGAGTTAAGGAATATTCCTAAAATATAATATACACAATTAAGTACAACACTTAACAGACGTTATCCAACGCCAACCCTGCGGTCGTATCTAGTATACAACCCTTCCAACTTTTTTCTCGAAAACGACACAACATATTGAAAATCGGCTTTCTTCCGTTTATTGAACACACATTAAATGGTACATTTATCAGTCGATGCTGTAAAAACGAAGTCCTGGTGCCCCGCACGGCTGCTCCCGGTGGATGATGTTCTAAAAAGCGCTTTTTGCGGTGCCAACTGCGGTTTGTGATGTAATATCTGAAATAAAAAAAAACCATGCCAAATCGTTAAGCATGTGTTAAACTAGTCCTTGATCGTTCGGTTTTTGTTTAATTTTTTTTTACAAAATGGCGGCCTTGCAAAGTTGAAGTGCCGATTTTTGATCCTTAAAATTTGTCTTTGATCGGCTGTAAAAAATCGAAATTAAATGATAGACGAAATCCGAACGATCGTGGACTGCACAAAATAGTACTGAACAGAAATCAAAACGAATCGGATGAATCGAATGTATACATTTCGAGAAATTTTTGGCACCGTTTTTGAAAATATGATTCCGAGATAATCGCGTTTAAAGTTTCAAGTTGGGTTTAGTCCACTATAAGTGAATATTTTTGTACGTCGCATAACTTTCACAATTTTCATCGGATCAACTTGATCTTTTGAGGAAATATTCTTGACTTTATATACTTTCGATTAGGACAAAAATCGATTTTTTGAAAGTTTGCAGGTAGGCGTAACCCCTTAAGCGAGATATCGGGTAATTAGGAAAACTGACATCTAAAATTGAGTTTTTTTTTCCTTTTTTCACCCATATACGTCAAATGTATAAGTTTTATACTCTGCTAATTATCGCAATCGTTTGACTCATCCAATAAATACCCATTATTTTATATATCATGCTTTATTATAAAGTTATTAAAATAAATGTCTCAAAAAAGTTATGCATAAACATGTCAATTACTCAAAATATAGTAAAAAGTAGCAGCCAATTTTTTTTCAGGGATTAGTGTAGACCTTGTTGGGTAATAATTACGACCACAAATCAACAGGCAACTGCAGGCATTTTCATATAACATCATTTGAATATTGCATAGACGTCTGTGTTACTTTGAGAATTCAAATATGTAAACCACACAAATACAAGAAATAAACATCAGATTCCACCATTCCCAAGTAGCATTGCAAGTTTTATCGTGGTTTTATAGCATTCTACAAATCTAAATAATGGTCTTCAGAACCCTCATAAAACCCAAATTGTTACATGGGTTTACAGCCAGACAGTCGAGCTGGTCGGAGCTAGGAGCCAACGTCAATACAGGGAAAGAATCCTGCAACGAGATCCACTGGCCGAGTTAAAGCTGGTGACCGAGCTGTCCAGCAAAAGGAATAACAGTTAATAAATACAATATTTTGTTCGCTCGGTCAACGGCTTTCACTCTACCAAGGTCCTTAGACCATAAACGCTTCTGCCAAATTACAACCAGAGGTGGCAACAGTACATTTTTTTGAAAAACCATCGTCCAGAGCGAAACAAAACAGCCAGCACACGGGCGACCGTGTATAACTACATTCCAAGCGAACAGCGGAGATAGAGAATAAATAAAATCTCGCAGCCTGATTTTTCCAAACAGTTTATTGTAATGAAATTTTAGCTGCAGGCTTGCGTGTGACAGTAAATTACCAACTCCCTTATTTACGCATAATTTTAACATCAATGCTTATGAGTGGTCAGTCTTCATTCTTATCTTTCAATTCCATGCAATAAACATCAAATAAATGCAGTAATTAGCCAGAAATCAGCAAAATTCTACACGACATAAATTTATGTCGCGCTTCTGTCTGCTTCTTTGTGCGAAAATGTTCTGTCGCTGGCAGAAAACAGTTTAGAAATGTCATGACATTTTTGCCGCTTGCCAGTTTGTTTTTGTGTGTCGTCACAATGGTTATCGCAAAATGTATCAAATGTTAAGGAAAAAATGTTAAACTCCAGGACTCGTGCCACCACTGATTACAACCACCGTCAGCTCCAGCCTGCCAGTCGTGCAACACTTACTACATAGGGATAGAAGTAGCGGAATTCTTCATCCACTGTCAAATCGCATGTCGTATCGAGATGCCAGATTTTTTTCTATACAATTCCGTAGACTTATTCAAATCTACGGATTTCTACGGATTTTTTTTTTAGTCGAAGGTGATATTTTGTTTTTAGTTCTATGGTGATATTTTACGTTAAATGATAAATCAAAGAATAGAACTTTTGAAAAACTACTAGGGACAGCCCTCTGGGGTTGTACGCAATGGTGACGTCGGACTATGTGGTCTTATATAATAAATGTTATTTGATAACTGCAGCAGGACTTGTGTTTTGTGCAGGAATAGGAATTTGAGCGGGGTTCTCTCTGTTTATACTCTTTAGTATGACTATGATTGCCCTGAAAAGAAGCTTTTGATGTGAATTTCAGTTGGGACATGTTCAGAAATTTAACTCTTTTGGAAAATCTTGGTGGCCCTGAAAAGGGCCGATGGTAGTACAGGCATGAATACCTCGTTAATACCATGATACTGTTGCACCTGTAGTGTTTGGCATACTTTCACTGATTGCTTCCCGGGGATCCTTGTTCAGCCATAGCAAGATGTGCGCGTTAGGACTTTCACGGTGCTTAAAATTCAATCGTATCAACCAGCTTGTTGAAGTACACACAGCACGTGACTGGATCATCATTGACCAGAGTTGCTCTTTGTAGTGCAGTCAATTCCTGGATAGGATCTGTTAAGTCATTGCCATAGTGTCCTTCTGACAATCGATGTAGGAGATTCAACAAATGGGACCACTTCATCTCACTAAGTGTGAGGAACATCGTAGGCTTTCCCAATTGTCGCATCATGGTGAACAAATTTATCTTCCTTTGTTACCAATACTGTACTGAATTCGGTATTGATTTAAGGAAGGATGAATTTCGCTTAATGCACTGCTTGTTCCCGTGCACTTAAAAGTGCATTGCAAACCTTCGGAAACTCTAAGGCGTAGAACTTTCATTGTCATATACAACAAATGTTGTGGTTTGCCCACACGCCTGTCTTGACGACGAGTTTCACTGGATGCCATCATGAAATATGTCATCCGAATCCCTGGCTTGAATTTCCGTAGATGGTCAAAACATATGGCAGGAAAAGCTATCTCTTCGCCGTGCTCGTCTTATATTAATGACAGATGAACCCTGTTTTTTCGCGGGAGCGATCTCCAGGCATTTGTCCTTATTCCAGAGGAGCGTTTCCTGTTGCCCAGCCAGCAATTCTGTCTCATTATCCACGGCAACGGTTTGCAGCTCAGTTTGAGGATTCACTGCAGAAGTTTCATGACCATCTATGGCGATCTGATCAATTGTGATCCCGTAGAGGCGGTACAGTGGTGTCGTAATCTAATAAGAAAGTCACGTTTTAACCGTAGTTTCCTTTATAAAGCCGGAAACGTACAACGACTTATGGATTACGTGCTTTTTGATGAACACGTTCAAGGCCTGATCATCATCGAGCTGACGGGGAAGAGAGTGGCGTCTCTCTTACACAACGCAAAAGGGTAGAACAACATTCGAGCAAAAAGAAAATTATCAAATAACTATCATATGACTTATGTGATTTCGTTCTAATTCAATTTGGTGTAAATTAAACCATTTCTGATCAGAAATGTTATTAATAGAACATCGTTGCTTGCTATTTTCAGAGTTCACACAAGCACACACTTAGAAATTATCGCCGACTTCGGTAATTTCTACCGAAATCTGAACAGCTGAACTGTTCGGTAAAATTTATGCAATTTAGTTCCATTGAACCTAAATCTACATTAAAATGACAATATTTGATCGTTTAAACAAGATTGAACATGTTTTGAAATTATTTTTTTAATTCAATGGACTTTAAAATGAAGCTCAAAATTACCGAACACGAAAACAAAATCTTAGTGTGCATAACATCAGCAGCTGAGATGTATGAGAAAAACTAAAATACATACATTCGTGACGGCCTTCGGCGACAGTGTCGTACGACAGAGCCTGTCGTATAACAGTTTAGTTTGGTATTGTAATTTGAAAGCTTTTTTGCAAGTGTCGGAAGCAAAGGCAGTCGATTATCACAGAAAATGTGTCGACTACGGTGACGGCTTACAAGACTGGTCTCGACACGACTTTTATTCACCTTCACACGGCACCGTCGAAAATTTTTCTCTTCAAGCAAAGATTGACAGTAGATTATGGGGACTTTCGGCGGAGTGAAGAGTTTCACGCACAGTTTGACGTTTGCTTACGGGATATTTCATAGGATATAAGAGCTACAGAGTCGCCGTCAACGCCAATTCTATCAAAAAGCGGATAAGTGAGCAAGAAAACGGTTGTATTTTACTGTATGCTTCTTTCCCTTCAAAATCAGATTATACTAGATTGTTATACTAGATTGTAAAATTTGATTCTGAAAGGAGACGAAAAAATCCGTAGAAACTGTACCGATTTCCGTAGATTTTGCCTACGGATCCGTATTTCCGCAAAAATTTGTAAAATCCGTAGATCTACGGAGATTTCCGTAAATCTGGCATCTCTGGCGTATGTCTGCAATTAGCATTTTCGGATATTAGTACAACACAGCAAAACAATAA